AAGCCAAGCAGGTATACTCCTCCTTGGTGGCAGCCCCCTGCTTCCACAGCCTGTAGGCCTCTCTTTTTTTTCCCTCCAGGCTCTCATGTATTTCCCTGCTCCACCAAGAAGGTTTGTTTGCTTTTTTGCCACCTTTTTATGTGTACTGGGATGGTCCTTTTCTGTGCCTGCAGGATTAGTCCCTTGAGAAATGCCCACCCTTCCTGGACTCCCATCTCTCCAAGGCTTTTACCAGTCAGTCCCTCCCTAACTAATCTCCTGAGTTTATTTAAATTTGCCTTCCTGAAGTCTAGCACTTCTACCCTACTACTTATCTTCCCCACCTTTCTCCAGATAGTGAACCCTATCAATAGGTGGTCACTATCCCCTAGGTTACCTTGCACCTGCAGATCCCCCACCAAGTCATCCCCTGTGGCCAGTACCAAGTCTAGTAAGACATTTCCTCTAGTGGAAACGCATACCTCCTGTGATAGGTGACAATCCTGTGAGGAGGTTAGAAACTTTCGTGAATGGGCAGACCTGGCTGCCTGTTTCTCCCAGCAGATGTCTAGAAAGTTAAAGTTAAAGCGGGATAAAGTTTTGGATGACTTGGGATGTCTAGAATAAAAGCCAACAGAGTGGGCTCTCAGAGCCACTCTAATTAAAGCGCCACCCCTCACCCCCAGAGCACATGTAAAAGTGCCCACAGTGCAGTTAGAACAGGTTTAAGTGCTTAAAACACTGCTGGTAATCTCTTATCGAGAGGCTGGCAGTGTTACTACTGATGGTGGAAATAGATCTGTGCCTAAAGACAGCCATACATGTAAAGTGCTTCAGATCTGTCCTTTATTTGAAGTGTTTCTAGTTTGGAATGTGCTAGTACTTTGCAAACATACTGGTGCCTCCCAGCTAAAACACTTCAAGCTGTGCAGAAGTCAGTGCTCCTCCCCTGCTTCTCAGTTATGGGCTGGGTGAACAGGGATCACAGCATCATGCCTAGCCTGGATTTCCAGGAGGCTTCTGAGGACATGGCAGGGATGCTCTCCAGTCAGGTGAGAGTGGCTGTGGGAGTCTGCTGTGTCCCTCCATATGGATGTTCTCCATCATCGTTGCCATAGTCTGTCTTGCCACATCAACCGCCTCAGCA